TGACAGTTCAAAAACTTCCTAAAATAATGTTCATTTACGTGGTGAAATTTGGGTAAAAGATATTCGAGATTCTCGAATTGATAAATGACCCTCGATAATCATAATATCAGAGTTGCCCGAAAAGAAAGATATAAAAATAAAAATTGAGGTTGTCGACAGTAACGATAAGTAATTTTCATATTTAACGCTGCCATTTATAAGGAAAATTTTCCCTAAAACTGTTCTTCCAACCTTTCATTGCCGTAGGTTTAGGTCATTGCTTACAGCACATTTGATGTTCATCGCACATCAGAATTGTCTGTCGTTAACAGACCATCTTTGACCAATATCAATAGTGAAGTTCTTGAACTGTCATTTCTTGGATGATTACTAGCCTTATGCGAATTTCAGCACACATTAAGCCATTATTTTTGGAAATTTGAACTGTCATTTCTTGAATAGTTTTCCATCTAGCCCAAACCTTAGCACAAAGATAAACTATTATTTCTCATAAGTTTCTAAACTGTCATTTCTTGAATGGTTTTCTGGTCTTTCGCCCGAATTTCAGCACTTTGTCATTTCTTGAGTGGCTTTTTAGTCTCTCGCCCAAATTTCACCACTTGAATGAACTATTATTTTTGAGAAGACTTTGAGCTGTTATTTCTCAAATGATTTCCTAGTCTTTTGCCCTTTCAATTTGAAATTAGTAATCGAGTAAATTATTTTTGAAGAGCTTTAGAGTTGCTTGAATAATTTCCCAGTGTTTTGTCTGAATTTGACCCTTAAGCAAACTCTTGAACAAAAAAAATTGGTGTTCCGAGTTTCAATCAATTAGATACGTTATAATGACGGCACGGTTTTACTCTTTCTTTGGACCTAGTTTTACCTTCGTACGATCATTCTAAAGGTTTCTGGCTAAGCGCCACTTTGACCTGGAGTTCAATTGGAATTTTCAGCATTCCTTGGTCACGTTCCAAAACTGGCTCTTAGGGGGTGGGGGGGGTGGCGGGGCTTAGATTGTCGCCATGTTCTAGGGAGCAATCGGAGACGAGCATGGCTGTATCCTGCAGGAGCTCCCCGAATCGAACTAATTAGGCTCGGGTTCCTAAGTTCCGTTCCCCGTGAAAATGACCTCTTCATTTGGGGTGGGCCCAATATGGGAACCCTCAGAATCTGCTAAAACTTGGCCCAGGGGGTTACTTGATGATAATCACGAATACGTTACTTATTATGCTTGGTAGAGCTTTATGTCATGCCTGCGGAAGGCAAACGATAAGTCGGTAGGGGGGGGGGGAGGGGGATTGAGACAGGGGGATCGTATTCGGCGGTTGTGTGCCATACCTCTTGTTCGACCCTGGTTGTTGATTTTATTGATTTTTTGCATTGTTCATCCCAGGAAGGTCAAATCTTACATATACAGATTTTTAGCATGCTGATTACGAAAATGATAGTCCCAAGTTCTAGTAACGCTTTTTTACATCAGTTTCTTGATTTTTACGGAAATTCTACCATACTGCTATCGTAGCCCACCATGGGAAGTGGTAAACAAAGTGGACACTACAATCGTGATCAGAGCGTGAAATAATCCCAAAACACAATTTTTCAAGAAAATCCTTGATGCTGGGTTTGCACAGAATGGATACTGTATAATCTCACCGTATAAGGCCAAGACTGATTTAAATCACATTTTGGCAATCAGCGCCTTCGATAACCCCTCTGGGGAAATTCACAGAGACGTGTTTTGAATTTTTTCAAAAAATTACCATGTCGGACAATTCAACCCACGACGGGTGGACGTAAGTCTGACAAAGCGAAAAAGGCTCCGGTCCAAAACAGCAGCATTGAAAACCGGCCTTGAATTCGTGAATGTGTTAAGCAGCCTCGAGAGTCCGTTACTGGCAAAGATATGTAACTGTCAGACGTTGCTAAGACTTTGTATTGCGGGGTTACTTGACCTGCTAAATACGAACGTCATATTGGGCTCAAAGGATGAAAAATCATGCTATAGGTTTCCTGTAAGCTTAAAAAAACGTGCAAAACGAACATCATTTCTGTAATCAGTCGCTGAACAATGCCCTGTGACAATTTTTCCCTTATGAAATGTTCTGTGTAAATTTACCGTAACCATCATATGCTGGCAGAATTTGGCAAGTAACGGCGCGGCTCCGTTTATAGCTCGCAACCTGGTTTTTTAATGCGCAGAAACGGGGCGCCATGCTCAAGGAGAAAAAAATATATATATATAAAAAGTGGGTGAGTGACTTTTCATACGAGAGCAATTTCAAGGCGCGAGGTGTGAACACCTACGGCCAGGTGTGAAGTCTCGCACGTCCGCGTCTTGTATACTGTGGGAGGGGGGGGGGGAGAGGGAGGGACCCACTTTTCATACGATTTCTCCCATATATCCTGACCTTTAGGCAACAATCCAATATCAATCGTATACCAGAAATGGGCCCGCTGGCTCCATATCATAAAATAAATCACCCAGAACGCTTTTGCAGTATCGCGAAATCAGGAAAGAAAACTGAAGGCTGCATGAACTGTAAAGTAATTTTCAGTCCAACACGTAATACAAAATTAGCTGCCAGAACTGATAGGAATTGACTGGAAACAAAACTGTAGATCGCGTCTGTACCAAAAAATAAACTACATATGAAAGATCTTACATCGCGCATGATGACTTCAAGTTTCTCTTTTCCATTCAAGTTATTTGCATTTCTATCTGAAATGGCACTCCTTTTCCATAAATTTATGGCTATTTTACGTTAGAACATTTTGCATTTTACTGAATTTTCTTTCGATTTAAACCTAATATATACATATATAAAACTTAAAATTTGTGTGTTCGTTTATTTGTTCGTTCGTTATAGAAACGCCCGTCAATGAACCGATTGAGCTGCAACTTTGCACACATATGTATTCGACCCCGGAGGTGGTTTAGCGCTACTTTTTGCGGCGATTCGCTGAACCATTCTATTGATTTATTGATTTTTGGCATAAGAATGAGTTCTCGACATCGGCTAACAATTCATTTCCATGATTTCGTGTGAACAATGGCGGTAGAGTTCATTCGATTTTCGCGGTAGGAAGGATGCGGTGATTCAATACGAGCCTACAGCGGGTGAGTTACTTTAATACAGAAAACCCTCGCAGCGCAGCATAACTGCTAGGTGGGAAGGGGAGGCGCGGGAGAGGGGGGGGGGCTGGAGCAAGCATCAGCTGAAGGACCCGGGCTAGACAGGGAAAATCAGCTAGTATATCTCATAGTTCAGGGACATTCGAAATTTTGAACTCATTGCACTTCCTTGCCTTCGCTTCAGTTTCATTGACACAATTTTAGAATAGAAAACAATCAATTCTTTAGAAAAAACACTCAGGGATTCGCGTCGTGCGAGCGGTCCTCCTATAAGGGCTAGCGTACAAGCGGACTACATAAGCCTAAAGCTTCCGTGCGTGCGGCAAACAGCTGAAGTGTCGTCCTAGCGGCAGGCAATGTTACCGTGCAAACGGCCTGCAATACGATTGCTCGAGCGAGCGGCCAGCAATGCGTCCGTCTTATCGGCCGGCAATATCCGTTGCCGTGCAAGCGGCCAACAGTGACCTCTATCTTCGGCTCATTATTTTCACACACTGTGAGCGTAAACGGTACCTGCGTGAGATACGACGCAGCGTTTAGGCTGGCTACTCAGATAATCGCCGGGGGCAAGCGGCGATGCGATTTATGGGCAGGCGGGCACCGGAAAAATAGTTTGTTGATTCTCTGCGGCCCGCCCGCAGAAATTTGGAAGAAAGTTGGCGAAATTAAAGACGAAAGCTCGAAGAACAATCGCGGTTTCTTTATGGATTAGCTGCGGCGCAGTGGCCGCATTCTCGCGGACTTTCCGCGAGAATATGCAAAAATTTCGAGGGCCGCACGGTCCTTTGTGGAGGACCGCTCAACCCTCAGGTACTTTCCGCTGAGAGAAAGTACCTCAAACTTGAGTAACTAAACCAACGGTGACACCTCTGCCACACAGAGTCTTACCTGCGCTCGACGTACGCACGAAAATGCCTAAAAAGAGTCCGAGCGCTTGCTGAAAATTTGGCCAGCGCTCGCTGAAAGAAATTAATTGCGGAGCGCTTGCAGGAAATTTTGTATTGCTGCCCGCTGGCAGAAGACGAAAGTACCGCCCGCTGAAGGTTTGGCCACGCCCCAAAATTCTGCTGACCGCCTGCAGAAAAGCGCGAGTTTGCGGACCGCCTGCCCCCGACGATTATCTGAGCAGGTACTTTCCGCTGAGAGAAAGTACCTCAAACTTGAGTAATTAGACCATCGATGACACCTCTGCTCAGATAATCGCCGGGGGCAGACGGCCATGCCATTTTTGGGCAAGCGGGCACCGGAAAAATAGTTCGCTGATTTCTTGCGGTCCGCTTGCAGATATTTGGAAGAATTTTGGCGAAATGTTGAACGAATGCTTGAAGAACAATAGCGGTTTCCTTGCAGATTAGCTGCGGCGCAGTGGCCGCATTCTCGCGGACTTTCCGCGAAAATATGCAAAAATTTCGAGGGCCGCACGGTCCTTTGTGGAGGACCGCGCAGCCCCCAGGTACTTTCTGCTGAGAAAAAGTACCTCAAACTTGAGTAATTAAACCATCGATGACTCCTCTGCCATGTAGAGTCTCACCTTTGCTCGGCGTACGCCCGAAACTGCTTAAAAACCGTCCGAGCGCCAACTGAAAATTTGACCAGCGCTCGCTGAAAGAGATTATTTGACGAGCGCCTGCAGAAAATTCTGTGCTGCTGCCCGCTGGCAGAACATTAGACAGTAAAGGAAGTACCGCTCGCCGAAGGTTTGGCCACGCCCCAAAATTCTGCTGACCGCCTGCAGAAAAGCGCGAGTTTGCGGACCGCCTGCCCCCGACGATTATCTGAGTAACTGCGGCGGCGCCGCGTGAGTTAAGTCCCGCCGCCAATTTTTTTTTTTCACAAATCACGGGTGGTATTTTATGCTGCCAAAAGCTCAAGACCCTCAATTTAGGGTGGACGGTGCCTCCCAGAGCCGATTCGTATTCAAATGGCAGGTCGCCAGATCGGCTAATGACGATTGGGAGAGATCGTGAGGAACGACTACGACACTAAAAGTCATCATGGCGAATAAATATAGCAAAAAATTCCGGATTTTTGTTAGATTCCTTTACAACTTGTGAAACCGCATGGTCGGAAATGCTTGCCCTTTCGAATCACAACAACATGAATACACAAAAGGCCGTGTCCTTTATGAGTTATCATTTCAAAAGCAAATGGCAAGTGGTATGACTCTATTTGTTTTCACATTCACGGAGACTTTAGTCAAAAGCATTGACTACGATGACTTGAGCAAACTTGGTATTATCATGTGCTTACTGATTCAGACGACCCTATTCGTGGTGATATTATCATCAAAGTCACGGTGAAGTGATTCACTGGAATACGTTATTATGCTGCCTATAAAATGTATGCCACATTCACGGTCATCCGATTCTCATGCCTTTTGACAAGTAGCATCCTTTATGAATCCACTGCCATAACTTTCACTCAAAAATGAGTTAATAGCTAATATCTATCCTTCTTTTGCCTGTTTATGGCACAATCCGGCAGAGCATAACGAATTCTGGGAGAAGTGGGCTGACATTATCATGACCAAAGTTCATATGAAGCATCAATTTAGTACTGTTTGCGGGGTGGCGAGCAAGAGGAACGATAGCTGGTGGGTGTCAATAACTCGCGCATTCTTCACCGTCATTTTTGTCCATTAGTACACAGAAATTCAAAGATTTCCTTCTTTAATGCTTTCATCTAGACAGGAGAATTGGATAGATTGTGTTTGCTTAAAAATGAGGTGTGAAAATTAGCTGAAAATGTCAAAAAAGGCCTCAAAGGTGAAACTGCAAGCATTTAGAGCTTATTCCTGCAAAAACATCACCGAATTGCACATACCACCGGGATTTAAGCAGGACTTATTGAGTAAATTGAGTAAAGCATTAATTTTGTATCTATTACCTATTACAAGTTTACAATTTGCGAATTGTGAAGGCAAATAGTGCATTGGCACCAGCGGCTGACAATTGCTATCGTTCCTCTTGCACTACGCCCCTGTTTGCGTGCAGTCACCTATAATTATCCAAAACTGGGTCCGAATTCTAATTACGAGGAGATAGATTGACGAGATACTTCTTCTATGTTCTGCTTTTGCTTCGTTTGCTCATCTTGATCTCACAAACTCTTATATTCCAACATCAGTCTGCATTTTCGACATTCTCCCCCACTCCCCTCCATTCACCGTTGCAGTGAAAGACTGCTGTTTAAGGTCACAATAATCATGCTTGATCAAATTGAATTGTTATATAAATAGCTTGTCACTTGTATCACAGCACAAAATAATCTTCTTTTAGAGAACTCAGATGATTCCTTCAATGACTCATTTCTCAACTGTCTGATATGTCGTGTGCTTCTTCTTATTACAGCGGCGAAAGCTATAGATTGCGTGTTGTTCCACATCACATAAAAAATAGATCCGCATGAACTAACGATAGATGCACTGTTGTCCCTTCTTATTCTACTGCCTTGGAATCTCTTTACTATAACACTTCTTTGGTTTTTTTTGTGTAATTATTCTCGCTATGGCGTCATTAGCTTGATCTGCCAATTTCTGCAGGAGTCTGCCTGTCTTTTTTTCTGCAATTGTGCAGCTTGTTTTTTTTAGCTGTCACCCTATTGCTCCAGTGCAAACCGATACTGGTTCTTTTGAAGTCTAGAATTTTGTTTTACCTTTTGTGTAAATAGAATTTGGTAAGGATAGGCAACAAGTCCCAACAACTCTGAAGAGATTTTCTATGCCGGTGAAAATGCCGTGATGCATTACTTCGTTGAAAAGGAGCGCTAAAATAGGAGGCACATGAAGTTCTAGCAACCAAATTGTCAGAACTGTGACATATGTGTGACAATTGTAATATTGGAATAGGAAAAGCACATAAAATAAAAATATATGCATAAGACAGAACTCATGTTGCTGGGGTTATGCCATGAATTCGCGGCAGATAAGACCAGAGAGGAAAAAAGCATATTATCAAACGACTGCGATGACAGAAAGCAGCAAAAACCTGTACACAGATACATCCAGAAACATTTACGCATGAGAATTTAAAGCTGACATAAATAACCATATATCCTAAGGCAAAGCATTTGTATGACTACTTGGTGTGTGCCAAGTGAAGTAGGTGGACAAAGTGATGTGGAATATTTATTCACACTGACGTAGATTAGTTGAGAGCGATCTACAATACAGTTGGGGGCTCCTTACATACACGGATAGAAGGCGCTTGCCCGGGTACAATGTACAACGTAGGAGGGGTACATGGCTTAAAAGGAGTTGCCGCCGTTTGGCTACATTCTTGGTGCACAGGTGCCAATCATTTTGAGTGATTAGATACCCAAGAATGAGTGGCGTACAATTTGGCCTATGGGAACTCCATAGGCGATGTGGAAAATGGAGCTGATTGGGGTGATTAGATACTCAAGAGTGAGTAGCTCACCATTCAGCCTAGCGGGATTCCGTAGGCTATACAGAATATAGAGTTCATCAATGGTTGATGATATAGAATCCATCAACAAATTTCACTGAAGACGGAAGCTTTGACGTCTGCCTCATTTTTCTGGATTGTCTTCCTTTAGATGAAGGAAACTGTTGTAGTTTTGTTGGCGGAGATGTTTCCTGTAACGTTGATATGCAACCGAAAGTGCAGAAGGAGTTGTTGTAATGGTGGTGCGACTCGTCCCTGATATGACGTGCCCGCAGATTGTTGAGGTCAAAATGAGCCCTGAGGGAAGCTTGAGCACTCTCTTATTGCGAAGGGTGACAAGATTTATGAGGTCTTGCCCGATGATCAGGTCCGGTAGAAGGCTTTTGTGGGAGAGTGTATCCTGAGCAATTATCAGCTTTCGTCATCGGTAAAACGCAAATCTGCTTCCTGAGACTTGCCGTCTGCATGTCGGTAGTCAGCTTCTGCTTTGTATGCAATGACAACCTCTTGAGCTTCTCGGGGTTGTGAAGACTCCTCAAAGTAATGTGCACTTCAGATGAGTTGAATTACTCTTGGTGTTCGCCCATCCCTGATATGGTGAAAGAAGTAGTTCGAACAATTGGAAGCTTGAGTTCTTCACAGATCCCTGATCTGATGAAGCTTCGTTGTGCCCTGGAATCAAGGAGTATGGTCGTTAGTTGGCAATCCCACTGTGCTTCGTTGAAATTCAAGGCCGAAGCGATCTGCAGAACGGCTGATTGGGTGCCAGTGGAAATACGTCTGGATTGTGGACTTTTTGCTCAGCCTGTAAGCCTTGTACGACGTACATATTACTCATCTCGCTGCGATCCTGATTCGTATCATGCTGCGGCCAAGAAGTAGGTGAATGTTGTTGATTTTCGAGTCAGAATCTCGGTGCGCGAAAACTCCACTGCGTTGTCTTGCTTCTGACAAGCAAAGAGATTTGTGGTGCGATCCCTTGCATTTAGGGCATACTCCAATATTCGTGCAAGCGTTCGAGTCGCGGTTTCTTACGAAACGTCTCCAACACGCTCCTTGATTTGTTGCTTCAAGTCGTCGAGCTTCTGGTATGGTGTACTTCTGGCACTTGTAAGGCGAGTGTAGCTGTCCGCGTAAACACAAGCGTTTTGGTTTTGAGAAGTGTTCTGTTCCTTCGCGTCTGATAATCTTTTCATTTTCTTGGTTATCCGAATAGTAGTCGGTTGGAAAGAGAGTTTCCGTCGTTAGCAAGGTTCTCTCTCGTATTGAAATGATGCTGTCGATGGTGTTCAGGGCTTCGCTAACATCAAATGGATCATCTTGTACCGCTTCCTTTGGATGGCGGTCGTACAGATGGATTCGGGAGATATGGAGAAGATTATTTGACGCCAAACTCGGTCTGCGTTCTTCTTTGCTCCCGTTTGCTCCAGGTGAATGATCCTTGAGTTGATTGCTTCGGAGGTTTCTCGGCAATCATTCGAATCATCTGAGGCCCTGAGTAGTTTTTCGAACTTGTTGATGAGTATGTCTGTCATGTTGGCAAAGCGATCGAAATGTTTTTTCAAGATATCTATCGCTGTCTGATATCGTTCTCCGACGACGGGAATGCAGCTCAGGAAGTCTGCTGCTTTTCCTTTCAGGGCTTGTTTCAGGAACAAGAATTTGTCCATGTCGAATATCTCCTCGTCATTATGGATGAGAAATTTGAATACTGTCCAGAAGCTGTTGAACTCTCTGAAGTTTCCGGAGAACGTCGGGATTTCGAGCAGAGGTTTTCGTATTTTGATCTGCCTTTCGTTGCGGTCCGGAATCCAAGCTTGTCCAATATTACTCGGTTGACTTAGTATGTTCGGGGCATCGCAATGCAGAAGTGCTCCTTGTTTTTTCAGTTCATGCTGCCAAAATTAGTGACTCCAGTTCTAAGTGCTTGCTGAGCTCCGTCATCAATTTCCCTCTTTCTTTTCCTTCATTTCGTGCGCTGATGTACTCGATTGCAAAGTTGATCTGCGTCTCTTGAAGCTTCATTGCGTTTTGTAGAGAGTTGAGAAGATAGGTTATCAACCCCGTTTCCTATTTTATGTAGTGCTCACATTCATCTTTTAGTGTGGAAAATGTGAAGGGAACATCGATAGCGTCGATTTGTGACTCGTGGGATTTCACGAGTTTGCAGGCGTTTTTTAATTCTGATTTTGAAAAGCTGGAGTGACGTCATCTTTTAATGCTCCTTGTGTCTTCTTTTATCTTTTTTTGAACTTTTCTTTGATTTCCAGAAAACTGGGGCTTCACTGTAGCTTCTGTGTTTTTAGCAGGGCTGATCTCGTATGACAACTGTCCTTATTGGATGCAAGGAAGTCGTTTAGTGAGCTGGCAATTGAGTGCCAAGCTTCTACTAGCTGTCAGCAAGCGTGCCTTGTTGGCTTGTACGCTCTACTGGACCGTGAGGTGTGTTGAACCTGTACCGTGAGGGTTGATAGCAATTTAAAGCTCAAGTTATAGGTGAACTTCGAACTTGTTAGCTATTGCCAACTGGTCCTTACTGATCTCTGGTCGTCTTATGTAAAGAGAGCACAGAGATGTTCAATTTGCAGTGGTG